GCTCTGAGCTGTCAGCACAGAGCCCGATGCAGGGCTCAAACTAATAAGCCGTGAGATCATGACCTGAGCCGAAATCAGACGCTTAACCAACTGAGCCACCCAGGCGCCCCTTAAAACATTTTTTATTAAGAGTTGAATAAAGCTAAATTTGATTAGCTGCACTAATAACCATGGATTTCTTCTTCTCAACATTCTGCCTAGAGAGAAATATGGATATTCAAGAAAGTGACTGACATTCATCATAGTGATTCCCATGCAACAAAGCCACATGGAGATTTAACCAACATGCAGGTAAGAGGATTAGTGAAGACAGTCAAACTACTCTATTCCCCCCAGGGAAGGCTACACTATCCAGCTCCACCATCTTGATGAGGAAAATAACCTGGTAAATGCCAGAACTTTACTTTGTTTGATGGCCTTAGGGTGAGCATATGTTTTATTTTGCACACTTTATTACTTGTTAAAGAGACACAGACCTAAAAACAAGTATGGGTTCATATGACAAACATTCTGTACTCTATAGACAGTCTGAAGTGATTAAAGTCTCATTCACCAGTTGTTCTGAAGTGCAATTGTCCTCAACTCAGAAAAACAAAGAAACAGAACCTGCTAAGATCTACAACTTCCCTCCTACTCCAGATCAAAGGAAACTCCAAGGCAAAAAATAAATATTTGGAAGTAGAATTCAAGAAAAGTCAAAATAAACCAAAATGAGATTAATGTTCTTGGAATTTTTTTTTCCAGACCAAGCTGTTAACCCCCTGTTCAAATGAATGCACTGGCATATGTTAAGGATCTATAAAGCTCATAGAGTTAAATATGAAAATACAACTACAAAGGATGACTTCCCATCTCTAAAATCTGTTCTTCCTGCTTCTAACATGACATATTGTGCAACCCTGATAAAAATATTTACAGAAGAGAAATGCAGTGCTCCTAACTCAGACACAAGACAGTAACTGGTAAGTTAATAGTGAGATTTTTCTATTAACCTTAAAATTTCATTGAAGGCCAAAATAAATTTAATAGCTAGAATCCTGTAACTACCTTCTGGGAGTCTTGAATAATGCACAATAAGAGAAAAGGTATACTAATATGGAAAGGCAACATGTACCTCGTGAGCGTTTATAAACTTGGGATAGCTTAAACACTTTCCCGTGGGAAGCACATCTTGACAGGACTCCGACGTTTATAACCTGATCTAAGGACTAAGAGCTCCCCCATAAAGATGACGCAAATGCCCTAATGCACAGCACATTAAGCCCTAATGAAACAGCAAAGTCGGTGTTTAACAACTCCGGCCTCCATTCAGCGATGGTTTAAATATAAGCATAATAAAGCAGATTACAAAGAAAGAAGCTGTAATTACTTTTTGAAGAACTCAATCTCTTGTCCTATTATGGTCTATGTGCGAGCCTCAAAGGCTGAATGCAGGCAGTAAAATTACAGTGAGGGCTTACCGATCCTGTCACATCCACTATTTTAAAAAATTTAAGCACAACAATTGATAAAACCCAGGTTACATTTAAAAATTAAGAAACTAACATCGCGGTCGAGTCAAATAGCTCTAAGCTAGCCAATATATTTTTGCTTGTTTTTCTTGGTAAAGAACTGGCACCTCTTCTGATCTCAGGGCTGGGCATGCTACCTCAACATATGACATACGACAGAGAGGATCTGAATTCAACACTGAAGGAAGACTGTCCTGGTTTTACGACGGCCATTTAAAGTGGCCTCCATTACCCAACTGGGGTTGCATTATCCAACCGGGACTCTATCTAACTCTGCAGTATAAAGAAACATTGTTACTTGGTGCTATTTTTAAGAAATACGGAATTCTCTGACTTCCCTATTTGCAATAAAATTTACACAGAAGTGAATACTGTCAGTACAAGCATGCCTAAACTTCAATTACTCCCACAAGTACATGGCAAATAATCTGAACTTGGAACTGGAAATCTTAACATTTGTTTAAATTATTCCTTTTTCCCAACTGTATATCTTATGTTTGCAATCAAGTCAGTTCAAATTATTTAAAATCATCCATGTCAGACCATAATATAGATCAAAGCCACGCAGTTCTTATGTCCTGTACTTCTGGCTTTTTTCTTGGTCTAAAATGTCATAAATCTATCATTAACCACCAACTGTCCTGAATGTTAGAAAAAAGAAAAAGAAGTCAGTTTAATTGAAAAAGATTAATGAATTGGTCATTTATTACTTTAATTAGCTTACATTACAGATTTACATAGATAATTCCTGAAATAGAATGATTATTGGTCTTTAACACTCATATTTACCAACATCTTTTTTATCGGAATACACACAGCCATGAACTTACTACAAAGATCTGACAGAACCGTGTTAAAGAAATTCTATAGTCAGCATTTTACCCTGCACAGCTTTTAGTCCCCACACAGTTCAAGAGCGAAGGAAAGAAGGCTCTCAAACGGCATTTCAGCACACAGACCCATGTGGGTAAAAAGGGGGATTTCAGATGTGCTTTTATTCAGTTTATGCATGTAGGGAAGCCGCTCGATATGTATTTAGGCATAAAAGTATTATGAGTTATTTATCTTCAGACACGTTTCGGCATCAACATCTGGCATGTGCAGAGTCCTCAAGATGGGCATTTGACCTAAGAGTATAGTGTTCTCTTCCTACACTGAAAAAAGGTAACTCTCTTTAGACTTTCTTCTAAATCCAATCATTTCTTTGAAATAATCATCTGATTTTCCACAGATTGCTTTTTTTCTATTTTTAGCCATATTATTTCTCTGGAAAAAAAATTGATCTTAACAAGATTATCTCCCTGGATGCTATTTCCTACCACTTTCTGTCTTCTTTACTGGGTGCTTCTGCACTTAGGAGACAGCATAGTTTAGGATCAGCTGTTTTATTTCTCCTTCTATTAGTTCAAACTTGGAGAGCTCACACATCTGTTTTATTTCTAACATCACTGCCCAGGAAAAGTGTCCAGCTCATTCTACCCAAACATAAACTTTACTATAAATAACTAAGAGCCTAACAAATAACTGTTTGGGGGAAATGGAAGTGTGTTTAAAAATCTGAATTCTTCCAAACCATCGGCCTTTAGTAATCTTCATTTTAGAGCCTTCCTGACAGCCCAGATCAGCTGCCCTCAGAACTTGTCCCCAGAGTGAACAAACTGAAACTCCTGCCGGAAATCCAGGTATTAACATCATATTACTTGCTAATTATAAAACACCAGTTCACATACTGACATTATTCACTTCTAACCCTTTTATCTAAAACACGTATTTGCTTTCCAATCATGGCTTGACAGCAAAGTGTATCTGACATAAGACAGTGAAATGATCTTTAATAAGACAGCAGTTCAAAGCATGCGGCTTTCATGCATAATAACTATGTTGGCTTAATTTGCTGCTCCACAGAAATAATTCTATTTGTGGAAATTCACAAAGTAAGATGGAATTTTTAAGAGAGCTCTACAAAGATGAAACTGGCTTTTTAAGAGTTCTTTCTATCTCCCTTTGAAAGTGATAAGATTGCTGTTCTGACAGTTTTAAAGGCTTGGGAAATCTCTCTTCTGATTCTTTTTTACAAGTACTACAAAATATGTTCACTACCTGTTATTTAGAATTCCTTTGCTTGTCTCTCTTAATTGGCACCAGGTCAATAGAGAGGTCTAGAGCCAATGTGCTAGAGCTATTGAGCTGACCAAAATGACTGATATTTTAACGGAGTTAAGAGGTCAGATAAGTATCATGTAATGTCATTAGTTCTCTGGTACTTCTTCTAATCATTCCTAAAGAAGGTTAATATTAAACTTAATACGTTTTGAAATCCCCTGGCCGAATAATACAATAAAAATCTATGGATGGTAACAGAAACGAATATACTTTCTCAAGTTGACCATGAGTTTCAACTATGCTAAAATTGCTTAAAATGAATACATTTCTTTAGCATCAATTCTGCCTTTCATTCTATTTGAAATGGTAGATTTGTTTTCCATTTCACATATGCCATAAACTAAAGACAGAGGAGTAGATCAAAAAGGTATGCCAGTTTTAATAAAAGCAGAAATCTAAATTACTGCTAAATGCTTTCATAAATTACTACTTTCCCTAAATGCAGACAGGAATGCTTTATTGGGCTGCACCGAGGTCATTCTGGTGTCCCTACTACTTACGATCACATTGACTTCTTTATAATCAATGTAAACCTTTATTTCCAAATTTTCATTTGCAATTATGTTGCTTTTTCTGGAGTGTATCTCTGCAACAGTCCCTATGACCCAAACCAGGTCCAATGTGACGCCAGGCCGAGTATAAAATTAAATCCTAATGCAAGACACAGGAAAGATCCCCACTGAAGAAAAGACTATAGCAAAAGATGTCTAATCTACAACTAGAACAAAGCATATACTGGGGCGCCTGGGTGGCTTAGTCGGTTAGGCGTCCGACTTTCGCTTAGGTCATGATCTCGCGGTTCGTGGGTTCGGGCCCCGCGTCGGGCTCTGTGCTGACTGCCAGCTCAGAGCCTGGAGCCTGTTTCAGTCTGTGACTCCCTCTCTCTGGCCCTTCCCTGCTCAGGCTGTCTCTCTCTCTCCTAGAAATAAATAAAACATTTAAAAAAAAAAAAAAAAAAAAAAAAAAAGAACAAAGCATATACTACTATCGTGTGGATCCACAGAGATGAGAGCCATTTTTTGGAAGACTGTGAAAACAACAAATTAACCATGAAATATTTCTAGAAATATGAAGCCTACCTAAATCCCATCAAAAGGCTTTTACCAACCTAAGAGAAATATTGGGATTATTCTCCATGATAAGAGAGTAAAGACACCTCTGAATACACATTTGGATAAAATAGCCATGGAGTGTGTCCATCCTCCTGCTGAATCTAGCAGGCTGCTCCTTTGGCACTGGGAGCTTGATTTTACCATGTGTGTCAGAATTCACACTTCATTACCAATAACTTTTTCTATATAAAGAGATAAAACACAAAGCACAAACCTGTACATCATAGGTCCCATTTAGTAAAACAGGCCTTGAAGAATTGATGTCCTGCAGCACACCAGAAAGCACAGAACGGTTGACCTTCTGGAAGTCTTTGGAATGGCTGAACTGCACCATGTTATGAAGGGCCAAGATTTTGCTGTCCAGCTCAGCATCCTGCCTGGTGCGGTTATGCAGTCCTAAGTGATACTTTCGGAAGTGCTTAATCAGATCTGTGGGGTCATTGCCATAGTAACCGTACCCACAGATATTGCATTTAAAGTCCTGAAGCTCTGGAGACAGAGGTGCCGGGTCTGGGTTGTCATTTACCAGTAAGTCAGTTTTGGATTTATTCAGTCTTACACCCCCATCTGAAGGCACTTGTGGGTTTTTTGAGGCCACTGAAACTGGGCTTGAGCCTTGACAATTGGCTTGACTACTTTGCGCTTGCCCTGTTTCCTCGGTAGCCTTTGGTGACATCTTATGATCTTCCTTCGTATCCAGTGAGTCCCCTGCTGGGGCACAGGCCATATCTTGAGGGTCATCTGCCTCTGCTCGTTGAGGAGACTTCAAGGGCTCGCAGACTCCCCCCGCAGCTGGAGATGAGAAAGCCAACATATTTCTATCTGTCACCTCATCATGTGGATGCGAGGGAAGGTTTCCTCCCTTACTGGGGCTTTCATAATTGAAGCCAGCCTTCTCACCAAGGCTGGAGCTTTTTGAGCCCTTCTTGCTGCTAGAGGATGGATCTTGGCCATGCAAGCTATGTTCCTCCTTATTATTCAGTTCTGCAGCATCACTCTGATCTGTATTTTCTGACATCTGATCTGCAGAAAATTCTTTGTTCTTTCCAGACACCTTGCTTTCTGTACCTATAGGCTCCAGGGTCTGGCCCTCGCCTTCACTAACGACGTTTCTCAGAGGGGGGTTCTTTTTCCGGACCATATCTGTAAAAATGCAAGAGAAAACCAAATGCAAGGTTACTTGAAAGTTGCAGAGATGCAATCTAATCTAGAACATTTTACTTATGTGAGGCTTTTAAAAGGTGCATATACAAATCTTCCTCTAGGGAAAAAAATGTTTGAAAAATAGCAAAAAAAAAAAAATTGAGACTAAAGCAAATATTCACATTTAGAATTAATTTTGTCATAGGGTGACTCATTTGCTATTTTTAAAGAGTTTCATGAATACCAAAATATTAATTTTCCTATTATTCTTTCTTATTATTCTTGTTTGCCAATTATGTTTTGCTCACTTTCTTCAGGTATAGTTGTTATATATATGCTTACTTATAAACCTTATATATTATGTATAATATGTACACATACTCTGTTTATAAAATAGATATGCACTTATGTTTATAGAATATATATTACATATTTATATGCTATGTATATAAACAACATAAATTGGAATTCAATATTGTTACATACTGTGCAACCAATATATAAATATAATTTCAACCAAAATATCCTCGTAGTCAAAAAACAGAAACAGCACATTATAAACAGAGTGAAAACTGCCCTATTACTTTCAGGAATGGAAGATAACAAAGGTTTCATCTCTGTCCTACCAATAAATTTCTTTAAGCCCCATTGGGAGAGCCTCCTTGAATGTTAGGAGGAAAACCTGGTCCATATCAGAGTGACCAGATTGAGTTTTACTAGACTCTATGCAGCATAATGGGGATCCTAACTAAATCCTGGAATCTTACACATAGCCAGGTGGAAATAGTACCAATTTCACCATCAGGAGCATACTGGAGATTGACTAAAGTAAAATACTAAAATCTGAATCATATAACACTGTCATTTTGTAGCTTGGAATGGCCAACTCTCAGCACCCTCCCCTGGTTCATCTTTATATGCTAGCTCAACTGTGCCTTTCAAGTTAGTGCCATCAAGGAGAACGGTCAAAATCAGAACACCGTGACAAATTCCTCTACTGGAGTCTAATGAATCAGAACTTCAGTACGAGGAGATAAGAAACAATTTGTGGTATGTCCGTAAAAAAATGCAGTAACTAAGGCTAGTCGAGAACTGAAGTTCATGGCTTATGTCCTTTAATCCCTCAGCTGAAACACTGCAAATGCCATCAGTTGTCACCCTAAATGTCCCGTAGGAAAAACCACCTGTGACTGACTAATAAGACAAGCCCACTTTACTACCTGACTCTGCCATGGGGCAGATTTAACAGAGTTAGTTACACCATGATTATCCAACATGTCCTGAGAAAATCCAAATTAATAACATGTTTTAGTTGTTCTCATCTATAATTTCTCACAAGTGCTGAGGAGCCACACTGGCTTTGGATATATATAAGTGTACCTTCATTTCTGAAGAGCTGGTCAAGCAAAATGTGTATTATATGAATCGCTGAGCCCACATAATGCCCTGCCTCACTATAAAGAATCATTTGTAAGGTAAAAATTCACTTTACAAAATAATGTCAAAAATATTAATTGTACTTAAGAAAGTATACTCTTCTTTGTAGTACAGAAATAACATGAGCCAACAAATATCTATGAAATCTGTATGTGTTCCTCTTGGAACAACAACATCATTTATGGGATGAAGGACTGAAGCTTCAAATCCAAGTGATGGTCATGGGGCCATGTAAACCTGCCTGGCGAAGGCAGGGAGTGGGAGTGAGTCTTCACCATGATGTCATTACCATTAAGTCTTAAAATAAACTAAGCTAGGTAACCATTGCTTATTAAAAAAAAAAAAAAAGAACACTGCGTTACTTCTTTATTTTTATTTATTTAAGATTTCCCCCCCCAGTAATCTCCACACCTAATGTGGGGTTCAAACATATGACCTCAAGATCAAGAGTTACACACTCCACCGAGGGAGCCAGCCAGGCACCTCCAACGTATTTATTTTTTAATATTTGTATGTTCATGTCTTATTGGTTGATGTCAACACTTTAGACCCCTGTTCCTCTGTCAGAAGTGACAGAATTTAGGAACTTGAACCAACACATGAAAGAGTGGAGGGCAATTTTACTGGCAGTCAACAGAAGGAAAACTAAAAATGAAAAAAATAATAATATAGGAGTTTAAGAAATCAGCTATCATTTAAAACACAACAATTTGAGGGGACAAAAACATATGCTATTCTTACCGTGATCTACAGAAAAAGACATTCCAGTTTATAGAGTATCAGCCATTACTACACATATAAATGTGATGATTTGATATAGCATCTCTTGCCTTTCCCTCCAGAATTTCATGGTTACTTGTTTTTAAGTCTTTAGTAACTATTGCAATTTAATCTTTCCTTGGACAAATACATATCATTTGTATTTTAAAATCATCTCCTTAATGTAAATAAAACCTAACAGTAATGCACTCCAATGAAATAAATAAGGTTACACAGAAAAATGAAAATCTGCATGAAAGGCAGGATTCATAAAGAAATGAATATGAAATAATCCAATTCATTAAGATTTTCCTTCCATTAAAATGAAGAGAAAATGGAAAAAAAAGGGGGGGGGGCGCCTGGATGGGTCAGTCGGTTGAGCGTCCAACTTCAGCTCAGGTCATGATCTCATGGTTTGTGGGTTCGAGCCCCATGTTGGGCTCTGTGCTGACAGCTAGCTCAGAGCCTGGAACCTGTTTCAGATTCTGTCTCCCTCTCTCTCTGACCCTCCCCTGCTCATGCTCACGCTCTCTCTCTCCCTCTATCTCTCTCATTCTCTTTCAAAAATAAATAAAACATTAAAAAAATAAAATAAGAGAAAATGAAGAAAAAATGGTTTCTGTTCATATATTAATGTCAAGGTGATTAGTAAAACAGCAACATTTTACAGAGCAAGGGACTAAGATAAAATATTAAAAGTGAATAAATACAAATATGTTAATATGGAAAAATTTCACTTGTTCTTCAGAACCAAAAAAAAAAATTAGACCTTGTTGATTTATTGTTATAATGAAGAAAAGGAATAGTTCATAGTTTAAAAACCACTGAACCAGCAATTACTGTAACTAAGAGAAAATAGGATTTAATTAAATTATCATCATTTCAAATTTCAGTTCCCTCTTCCACCAAGAACAGATCTTTGGAACCCATATGACTCACTGACTCCTTGTGCTGAATGCAGCCCTTAAAAATATACATCGCAAATAATGTTAAACTGCTAAAACTTCAAAGAAGTATCAGAAAGGTCATTGGTGTTTTCTTTTTTGCTGTGGGTGGAAGGGGCATGTTCTTTTTAGTTTCTTTAAAAAAAAAATCATGGTTAATTTAGTTGACTATACTTTGAAGTAGTTATAGAAAAATAAGTTTTTACTGGAATTATATCACCATAACTTTTGAGAATGACATATTATGTAAATATAAGCACATTTGCAATACCTCTAAGTGGAAGAAACTCCCCTAACAAGTCATAAGTTAGATATCATAAGACTATAGCCACCCTCAAGTTATTATCTTTAAGACACATAACAGATTGCATGATGTTTTACTGTGTGCCAAGAACTTTTCCAGTTAACATTTTCACTTGAAAAAATGGATCACATACTTGTAAAATCATACCCAGCATTGACTTCATAAGGCATGTGGCTTTAGAGTGCTTTTTACAATTATTAATTCTATTAGTCAACTAGCAGGAGGCTAATGCAATTGTCTTAGAAGATGCTCAGAAGACACAGAAGACATTTTGAAAGCTGATCTGTACATCTGCAAAACAAAACAAAAAATATTTTCCTTCCTAAATGATGTACATATGCTTTAATGTATCACACCTAAAATATATTTATATGTCAGCACCACAGGCTGCTTGAAAGATACCTAATAAATGCATGAGCAAACCTGAGCAAGATCTCCCCTCCCCTGGGTTTTAATAAAGCAGCAGGAAGAAGGAGGAGCATGATATAAAAGGTTACAGAAATCATTTTCACAACAGACTGTGATGTATGATTTAATCTCTAAAACTCCCGAAGCCTAAGGACCAGAATACTTACCTACACTGGGGTGGGGATAGAAGATCTTAGTAAACATGGAGGGGACATGCTTCTGGAAAAGATACGAAGTGTACCTACTGACATTATACAGTCGCAGCTGAAGACAAGAAGTGGTACCCACTGCCAATCTCTTTCAAACTCCTAGTAGCAGTGTACACCATGTGGCTGAGAAAAGAGCCACTGCAATGCCATCGAGAACTGATGTGAGCCTTCTGGAGCAACAGTTACAGAAACATTATGCACTAGAACACACGCTACCTTTGTAGCTATTTTTAGTAATCTATTTTTGCTCTTGATATATAAGTCATAAAATTGTGATTGAACCATCTTTGAACCATCATTATACCATTATCTTTATTATCTAAATGAAATTATTGAGGCAGATGTTACATTAATGGTCATAAAATAATTAGATTAGATAGAAAGATAGACAGATAGACAGATAGATGATAGATAGATGGATGGATAGATAGATAAATAGATAATCACATCAAGGAGAGTCTGGCAACTCTATTTTAAACCTCTTCATTCAACTATATAGTAATAACCCTTGTACTGACTACCAAAAACAGTTCAAAATGCCAGTTTACAATAAGTCCACTATAAACAACCATTTAGATAATGGGGCTAAAAGTGAACTGGATAAGGAGGAACTGAAGAATCTAAATAAGAGCTACAAGACTCAAAATTTCTGATAACTACTTTATCTCACTATTTGAAATTCTTAACTATATAAGAAAAAAATCCTTATTCTATAGAAGACTGTGGCTCATGTTCTCAGAATGGCATCTTCACAGCAAAAGGAACTGCAGTTTTCTATTATTACTAGGTATTTTGAATTAATCATTAATGCTTTAGTTTTATTTCATATGTATGTGTATATATTTTTGTTTATATATGCATAGGTATATAATTCTTTGAATTCTATTTTTTCAAACATTTATGAAATACTTGTTCCAAACAGCCTTGCAATAGGTAATC